GTAAATAAATGAATGAGCATCAAAAACCAACTCCTGATGGAGCAGGCGATGACAGCTCCACCACACCCGCTTTCTCTCTGTTAGCAAGCAACATTTTATGTAGGCAAGGGGCCTGTCTCCCCCTTGATCTCCTTTATACTTAACATGTAATTTGAAATATCCCTTTTGCTGGCTGCATTTCTTTTGCAAAATTCAGCTCACTTAGAACATCAGTAACCTGATAGTTGCTTTTCTTTCCCTCTTCCTAACCATGTATCAACCTTCTGAAATCTGAACTCAATGGAGAATGCCCAGAGCAACCACGTTTCTGTTAAGAAGTCACTATCAGGACAGCATTATCATTTTCATGGGACTTAGGTACTTTTACCCTTGTTAGTACTTTCCTCAAAAATAAATTTATATACATAAATTATATTTTATTACTATGTTGGTAAAAGGCAAATATAATACAGATACAGACAGATACAGGCTGGATCAATTATTAATATGGTCACTCTTTCTTCAAATTTTAAAAGAAATTAAAATATTTTCATGGACCCCTGGAAGTTGGGTTTTCATGGACCCTAGGTACTGTGACTATTGTGCCTAACGAGTAATTTGGCCCTCCTAGCTATAACTCTTCTCAGGATCTCCTTTGTGCAGTCTAACCTAAAATAGTCTTGCCAACGATCCTCATGTCAATATGCCAATCATTTCTCTGATTGTTTAAAATTTACATTTTTTTAAGTTAATAATTTTTACACGCTACATAGGAAATTCTAATGCTTTACATTCCTCATCTATATGATGAAGATAATAATAATTATTACTTTACAGAATTAAATGAAGGATATAAAAAGTTCGTTAACCACAAATCATTTTACAAAAGTTGGATATTAATATACTTAAGTGTTTTGTAACTCCACTACCTTAATCAAAAACTTAACTGTGCCAATTCAATTTTACTTAGAACTAATTTAAGAGACTCATAATGAGAGACCATGAGAGATGGCCTTCAATGATTCATTAATGACTTTTGTTGTTGAAAGCAGTGTAACTGGTAAATGGATGCTACTTTGAGAACTTAACAAGGCTTTTTCTTTCTGAAATACTACCTTGGTGTACTTAGTACACCTCTTCAGAGTAGCTGGAGAACATCTCTTTTTCATAAGCCTTCATTTTTTTTAATTTAACCTTTATTGCATTTTTTCCCATTACATTTTAGTCCCCTTATACCCTGTTTTCCCAGCAATCACCACACTGTGGTCCATGTCCATGAGTCCTTTTTCCTTTATGCTCAACCTCTCCACCTCCTACCCCCAACCACCTGTCAACCTGCTCTCCATCTAGGAGTCCCCATTCTCTCTGTTAGTTCAAATTGTTCATTAGATTCCATGTATGAGTGAAACCATATGGTATTTATCTTTCTCTGACTATCTCATTTCACTTAGCATAATGTCCTCCAGGTCCACCCATACTGTCACAAGGGGTAAAATTTTTTTCTTTTTTTTATGGCCAAGTAGTATTCCACTGTGTAAATGTCCCATAGTTGTTTTATCCTCCCATATATTGATAGACACTTGGGCTGTTTCCATATTTTGGCAATTGTAAATAACGCTGCAATGAATACAGGGGTGCTTAAGTTCTTTTGAATTAGTGTTTTGGGTTCCTTCAGATATACTCCCAGAAGTGGGATCACTTGATCAAAAGGCAGGTCCATTTTTAATTTTTTGAGGTATCTCTATACTGCTTTCTACAGTGGCTGCACCAGTCCACATTCCCACTGGAACAGAGTGTAAAAGGGCTCCCCTTTCTCCACATCTTCGCCAACACTTGTTGTTTGTTGATTTATTGATGATAGCCATTCTGACAGGTGTGAGATGGTATCCCATTGTGGTTTTAATTTGCATTTCTTTGATGATTAGTGATGTTGAACATCTTTTCATATGTCCATTGGCCATCGGTATGTCCTCTTTGGAGAAGTGTCTATTCAGGCCCTTTGCCCAGTTTTTTAATTGGATTGTTTGTTTCTTTTTGTGTTGAGTGTTGTAAGAACTTTGTAAATTTTGGCTATTAACCCCCTATCAGATGTACCAGTAAATGTGTACTCCCATTCTGTGGATTGTATTTTTATTTTGTTGATGGTTTCCTTTGCTGTGCAAAAACTTTTTAGTTTGATATAGTTCCATTTGTTTGTTTTTCCTTTTGTTTCCCTTGCCTGGGAGATATATTCTATTAAAAATTTCTATGAGTAATGTCCAAAATTTTGTTGCCTATGTTTTCTTCTAGGATGTTTATGGTTTCAGGTCTAACATTTAAGCCTTTGATCTATTTTGAATTTATTCCTGTGTCTGGTAGAAGGTGGTGGTCTAGTTTCATTGTTCTGCATGTATCTGTCCAATTTTCCCAACACCATTTATTGAATAAAATATCTTAAGCCTATTGTATGTGCTTGTTTCTTCTGTCAAACACAAAATATTAGCAAATCAAATACTTCAATGTATCAAAAAGATCATACACCATGATCAAGCGGGATTTATTCCAGGAATGCAAGGTTGCTTTAATATTCACGAACCAATAAATATGATTCACCATATAAACAAAATGAAGGATAAAAACCACATGATCATACCAATAGATGCAGAAAAGGCATTTGATAAAATCCAGCACTCATATATGATAAAAACTCTCAGCAAAGTAGGACTAGAGGGAACATACCTAAATACAGTACAGGCCATATAAGACAAACCCATTGCCAGCATCATACTCAAAGGGCAAAAACTACAAGTGTTCTCCTTAAGATCAGGAACAAGGCAGGGGTGTCCACTTTCACCTCTTTTATTCAACATAGTACTGCAAGTCCTATCCACAGCAATCAGACAAGAAGAAATAAAAGGCATCCAAATTGGAAAGGAAGAAGTAAAACTGTCCTTTTTCACAGATGATATGATTCTGCACATAAAGAAATCCAAAGATTCCACCAAGAAACTACTAGAACTGATAAATGAATTCAGAAAAGTAGTAGTATATAAAATTAATATTCAGAAATCACTTGCATTTTTACATTTCAATAACAAACTAAAAGAAAGGGAAATTAAGAAAACAATCCCATTCACAATTGCTTCAAAAAGAATAAAATACCTAGGAATAAACCTAGCCAAGGATGTAAAAGACCTGTACATGGAAAAATATAAGACACTGAAGAAATTGAAGAAGATACAAATAAGTGGAAGCACATACCATGTTCATAGATAGGAAGAATTAACATTATTAAAATATCCATACTACCCAAAGCAATCTATAGATTCAATGCAATTCCTATCAAGATTTCAATGACGTATTTCATGGAACTACAACAAATATTTCAAAAGTGTATATGGAGCCACAAAAGGCCCCACATAATAACAGTGATCCTGAGAAAGGAGACAAAGTTGGAGGAATCACACTACCTAATATCAAACTGTGCTATAAGACCCTAATAATCAAAACAGCATGATACTGGCATAAAAACAGACACATAGATCAATGGAACAGAACAGAGCGCTCAGAAATAAATCCACACCTTTATAGTCATAAGCCTTTCCTTTAAAGACCTTTGTACTTTTGCATTACAAAGGGTAGATGTCAGGCTATCTTAAAATTACTTTAGGGAGAAAGAAATAAAGATTCCTCTCCCCCAGACAGTTCAGTGTAACATCATTCCTAGCTAAAATTCTTCTTTTTCCTCTATCATAAATCAAGGCTGGTATTAGCTATGTGAATTGAGTTGCCTCATTTGGGATAAAGGCACCTGGTGACATCATATAATCACTATCCCTAGTTTTAAGCAGGAAAGAACAGGAAATAACACACTACCAATTTAAATACATAATTTCAGAGAATATTAAAACTGGAAAAACTCTAAAATTCAACTACGGCAACTCCTGCACTTCATCAGAAATATGAAACGAGCTACCTGAATCACACAGGACCTGACAAAGAGTGAGCATATACGAATGTTAGTTTCCTAGCTATGAAAAGTTCTCTGGGCCTTTATTCTAGGCAATTAGACTCAGGAGTTCCTGAACTCAGCTCCAGAAATATTTTTCAAAAACTTTGGTGTATAGCTCTGTTTTTAAGCTTACATTCATATTTATGGATTTTCCTATTTTAACTCCAATAATCACTTACTCTTATGATAAGTGTTTTGGAAAAACCAACTACTAGGTTTCAGAACTAATAAAGAAAGAAGTCAAAGAGAAAGTAATTCTTATCTAGGGTCCCTATTACTACTCCTCCTCCTCCTCCTCCTCCTCCTCCTCCTCCTCCTCCTCCTCCTCCTCCTCCTCCTCCTCCTCCTCCTCTGGGCATGACATAGGAGACAGAATAAGACATGTCTCATAAGACATATGAGACATGGTGTTTGACTTCATCCTATATTCGCTCTCATAAGAAATAAATTACTTACTATCAACTTAAAGTCACAATTTCAGAGCCTCCTAAAACTAGAAGAAACTTTAAAAGTTCAGCTAGGACAACTCTCTCCCTTAATCACATATAAGTTTTGAGGCTTCAATGAGATATGTGAATCATACAAAAGTATTATATAACAATTTTAAAAACTCAAACACTTTTAAAGACATTTTGTAATCACATTACCTACATCATGGTATGGGGGAAATGAGAATCCATTGACTGTGTTATCAGGGTAGGCAAACTTTTCCTATGAAAGGCTGAACAGTTAATATTTTAGGCTTTGCAAGCTACAAATTTTAGGCTCTGTTAAATTTTCTTTTTCTTTTTTAATGACCCTTTAAAAATATTAAAACTACTCTTTTCTCACTGGTCAAGTAAACGCTGACGGGCCAGATCTGCCCTGTTCAAGCCTGGGGTGTGCTGACTCCTGAACTAGACAGTCACATTAAAGTCCTAAGAGAGAATTCAAATCAATTTATGAAAAAGTGATAAAATCAGGAACAGACTTTAAATCTTCACACTTCATTCAGTATACCATTCTACATCTAGAAATATCTCTACCTTACCTGAAATTCATCGAAACATAAGAGACATGCTTCTTCGCTGATTTCTTCAGCTATAGGAGCTATTGGATCATATGATTTAGCCATGAATCCTGCTTTCCTTTTTGGCAAACTCTGTTTAAGGCGGTGGATTCCTTAAATTGATCAAATTAAACAAACACAAAATCAAATATTGTGTTAATAGTGCTTTTTAGACAACTAGAGCATTTTTAAAGTCTCTAAGTAAATGAAACTTTAGTGTAAACAAGTTTAAATTCTACATACAATCAAATGTGATTATTGAAGTTGGTTGCATTTTCTCTACCTCAACATAAGCTACTTATATATTATTTTATTCCCATGATTATGAGGATACTTTGTGGTTGTTCCATCTCTATTCTTCAATCACTTTGGGGATGATAAAGTAATAGACTAGATAGCTAGATGGTGACTAGATGGACCAACAGATCAATCTCAGTCCCGAGAATTTCAAGGACATGTGCGGGAGGGGGTAGTCCTGCCCTATGTCTAGCTCATCTAATCAGAATGTTCTTGTCTGTGGCCTGATACACTAAAGACAGTCCCACTTCATTCATTATATGTTTACTAAATGCTGAAAGTTCTTTAAGAAAAGCACAATGTTCCTGCCCTGGGGAAGTTACAATGTAGCTGATGGACAAATAATACAAAAATGAAATAACATAAGAACACTGGCAAAGCAATAAAGCATACATACAAGTACAAACCGAATACCTAATCAAGAATAACTTTTTTTTTCATTAAATTGATTGGGGTGACATTACTCAATACTTATTTAAGATTCAAGTGTACAATTCTGTAATACTGGGTTGGCTAAAAAGTCTATATGGTTTTTTCCTTAAAGTAAAAGACACATTTTTCATTTCCACCAATAACTTTATTGATTTGGATATTTTGAGTATGTCAGCTACCTCCCACATGGTACAATGTTGATTGTTCTCAGTTAATGTCTTGATCTTATCACTGTCAACTTCAACTGTACTACCTGACTGTGGAACATCGTCCAGCAAGAAATCTCCAACATGAAACTTCACAAACCACTTTTGACACATTTGATCAGTCACAGCACCTTCTCCATACACTGCACAAATCTTTTTTTGTGTTTCAGTTGAGTTTTTACCTTTTTTGAAATAATAAAGCACAATATGCTGAAAATGTTGCTTATTTTCTCCCATCTTCAATATTAAAATGGCTATGCAAAAATCCAGCAATTTTGATAAGTTTTTTTCATATGCACACTGATATGACAGCTATCACAGTACAATCTAACAAAATTATTTCAAATGAAGTTAAAGACAACTATGCACTACTACAACCATCTTACAGAAAAAAACAAATGAACTTTTTGACTAACCCAATACATCACCTGTGTATTGCATCATGTGCTCACCATCCCAAGTCTAGTCTCCTTGTATCACCATATATTTGACCCCCTTTACCCTCTTCAACATTGCCCCCCCCACCTTTCCCTCTGGTAACCACCATACTATTGTCTATGAGTGTGTTTCTTTGCTTGTTTTGTTTATTTGTGGCTTTCTATTTATATTTCACATATGAGTGAAATCATATGGTTCTTGTACTTTTCAATGTGACTTATTTCGCTTAGCATGATATTCTCAAGAGCCATCCATGTCACAAATGGCAGTATTTCATATTTTCTTATGGCTGAACACTAAAGAATAACTTCTTGAACATGAGGTTTAAATTATTTCTTATTGATCCATAGCAGAAACAGAAAATGCCTGACCTTCATATGGTAACCTCTGTTCTCATATTTGGAAGTACTGATTTGTCCTTAGCACCAATCCTGGACACATTATTAATTGTTTCAATACAGCACAAGACAAATAAAATCTTATTTTAAGCAAAAATCTATTTTTTAAATATTATAACGTTCAGAATTTTTTTAAATGAGGAAAATTATTTTGTAATGTTCGCTCACTTAAAAATCACTTCTCCAGATAATTAACTTACTGTTGTGAACATCTAGCATGAAACCATGAAAATGAACCCGTTTTTTCCTCTTCATTTCCACATAAGCATAAAACATGTCCATCACCATTGTTTTCCCTGTACCTTAAAAAAAAAAGGATACTATTAAACAGTAGATACTGATTGCTGTAATGATTGTTCATTAGCTTTAGGATAATGAAACCATACTCTTTTACTGAAAAGCTTAAGACTATGTTACTTTTTTAGAAAGGAGTGGTTTTTTTATGTTAAACCAGCTAAAAATAAAACAATACTCTTTTCTGTTAAAATCTTGTTTTTAGAAAATATATTTAATTAATAAACAGGGCTACTCTCTTCTCCACCAGAAAACTAGGTTTATAAACTAGCAAAAATTATAGATTACTCATTCTTTAGTTTCTCTTTTAAAAGGCACCAGTATGAATAAAATAACTTCATTAATTAAATAAATATTTATCAGCCCATTATGAAGTGTGAGGAACTATCTTAGGCACAATGGGAATATTCAAACATGAAAAATAAAAAAAAAGATTAATATCTAACATAAATAATAGATGGATTAGAGCTGGAAGATTGCCAATTATAACATTTTTTTAAAAAATCTGAAAATATAAGTCTTTCAAAATGAGGCATACTTGAAGAAATTCTGATAGAATCAAACCTTGTAATTAGATTATCTAATTTTCAACACTCTGGGACTTTTTAAACACTATGATTGCATTAGTAATCGAAGAGTCAGCAGCCTGGGCATTTAATATGGGCATGCACAGAAAGCCTTATTCCCTGGCAGGAAGGGGAGAGCAGCAGTGGTCCAGCGGGGTCCACACCAAGCATCCCTGGGCAGGCCGGCCAGCTGTGCTGGTCCTGCCTCGCCCTTCTGCTTTCTCCAGCACCACCCATGTGCTCCTTGCAGGAGCTGCACCTCAGCAAGTGAGATCTGAGTCTTAAAATTTGTGGTGGGTGGTGTTTTCCTCCATTCCATAAATGACTTTGGGCCCATGCCATTTGAATTGCCAGAAAGTTTTTGTATATGAAAACACAATTCACTAAAGAGATTTTTAATGAAAAAAATCATTTAGACTGAAAAGTAATTTTTTCAAAAATATCCAGTACAATATCTCGATATAGTGAGTGGCAGCAGATTTTAAATTATTACATTTACCTAAAAAAGTGAATCAATAAAGTTTCAAATTCTGCTGCATAAAGCACAGTATACTGAGAGATCATGAATCATCTAACCAAAAATGTGAATAATAAATATTTGAAGTAACCTTTGGGCTAACTCTTTTAAAAATGGGCTTAAAATATAACAAGACCATTATATAAAAAATTACTGGAGAAAAAAGCAAAAAGCAAAAAGAAAAAGATTGACAGGTTATGCCACAGACAATTTAACCTTCTAAATATCAAAATTGCCATAAATAAAATTAATATCCTTATTCACTTAATATATTTTTACTGAATGCCTACCATGCGTGAGGCCCTATTCTAAGTGTTTAGAACATTCTAGTGAACAAAACTGATAAAAATATCCACCCTCAAGGAACTTGGGGGTTTACCCTTACATATCTTTTAAGACATAAAGTGCTCTTAGAAACTACGTTGGGCATTTTCTTTGTCCTAAATCTCTTCCTTCTGAAAAAATGTCTCAACTTCATATAATTCTATGAGGGTAGGCCAATAAAAATACCCCACTACCCTATACCCTGTGATTGACCCTGTTGTGGGCATATGACCCAATTAGGTAAGGTTCTGTGGGGGAATTATGGATCCTGAGAATCAGAATCATCCCTTCTCTTTTATTCCTTCACCCAAGGACATTTTGTCATTGCTTTCAGGGAAAAAGGGAGGGAGAGAGAAAGAAAGAGAGAGAGAGAGAGAGAGAAATATCAATGTGAGAGAGAAACATCAATCAGTTGCCTCTCATACATGCCCTGACTGAGAAGCAAACACACAACCTAGGCATGTGTCCTGACCAGGAATGGAGGCCACAACTTTTGGTGTATGGGATGACGCTCCAACCAACCGAGCCACATGGGCCAGGGCCCTTCTCCTCTTAAAAGAGCAACCTAGAAGATCCCAGGAGCCTTCTTTCCTATAACACCAAAAAATTCTTACCAAGAATGAAACCAATAATAGGAAAGTAGAACCAAAAGATGAAGGAGAAGGGAAAAGGAGAAAGAGATCCCTAACATATTATTTAAGCTCAAATCTCTACTCATGGCTGAATCAGATCATTACATGATTTCACAATTAAACCAACCATTAAATTGCTCCCCTGGTTCAACTGGCTGCTTTTTTTTTTTTTTTCCTGCAAGTGAAAGTGTCCTGAATGACACAGAATTAACAGGGGGGAAAAGATAATCAATTGCAAATAACATGAATATTCAAATGACACAAAAAACGTAAATAGCTTTAAACACATATTTTAAAGTTTGACTCCATTAGAAATAAAAGAAATAAAAATTCAAACACCAATGATATACCATTTTTATGTTGGTGAGGACATGCAGGAATGAAAGTAAAACACCCAGGTCTGGCTGAATTGTGTTAAGAGAGATAAGAATTATGGGAGTCCAACACAAGTGAAAATTGCAAGGCAAAGTACCAGAAAGGATGAAGCTATATAAATAAAGAGCTCCTGAAACCAACATGAGATTACTTTAAGTGTTTGACTACTAGCTTTCCATGTATAGGGTGATACTCCATGATGTGAGGCAAAGAAAGGCCACCAGGAAGCTATAAGTTGAACAATTTCTAGTTGTTGTATGTATTCAATATCATATCTCTGGAAATTATGGACAACACCATGGATTCTTATAGTAATAGAGTTGTTCAGTATCTTGACTATGGCGGTAGATACATAAATCTACGCAGGTGATAAATTGTACACATAACTGAGTACAAGTAAAACTGGAGAAATTTGAGTAAGATCCATGAGTTGTGATATTTATACTACAGTTTCACAAAATGTTACCTTTAAGGGGAGTAAAATAGAAAATATCAAAATACATCACATGTAACAGTGAGTTTTCTTTCATGGAACTATTTTTCTGGTGTGTAGGGGTGTATGTGTACTCATACAGTGAGTCAGGATGTAAAATATAGTTCAAAAATCTTTCAAAGCCATTGCAATAGTTTGTGAGCTTTGGATAAATAAAGGCTGCCTTTGCAGTTATTCACAAGCACACCGTCAGAAACAACACACTGCCTGGCACGAGGCAGATGCTCAATAAACATTTGTCAAGTAAATGGAAGAATGAGGACAAAAGATGTTCAAAGAAGGTGGGAAGAAACCAACACTACTTCACAATTTGCTTCAGTCTCTACAGAATCCTAAATAAAACCTTGTATATTCCTTAAGAGAAGATTCTTGCCAGGAGGTAAAACCAAAAACTCTTTTATGTTCTAACTTTCAAGCCTATAATAAGGAAGTGAGAAATGATTTCAAGAGCCCCCCACTCTGCTACATGGCATCCTTTTCACAGGCGATGCCCTGCAGAAGGAGCTGTAAGTACCATCCTCCATCATGGCCTCCAAGCCCAACAGAATTCTGCCTCCCAACTCCTAACCTTGAAACCAAGCCTACCTTTCAACTGGTGAAATTATCAGTGTAAAATAGGTGAGGTGAAACCAAGAGGCATTAGAAAAGGGACGGATAAACAAATAGGAACTTTTATTACCTGCTAAAATACCATCACCACTGCAGTCTGCTAGTAAGAGCTGAAACCCTGTTGTAAGAAAGCCTGCTGTGGGGTAAGAAGAAAGCCACAAAATACTACTAACAGCAGCTGGTTTCTGCATGGTTTGTGCTAAGCATTTAAATAATGAAAACATTTTGTTTCAAGATTGAACATTTTGTTTCAAGATTGAACCATGATAATCCCTTCAATTTATGTATCAACGCTACTGGAGTGCCCTGGATAGAGGGTTACCTGAGTCAATCATCTCAACATGTTTACAAAGAAGGGGAGTACAGTCGAGTGGGCATGACAGGGGGCAAGCCACGAACAGGAATAAGGAAGTGGGCTCTATGAAGAAGACATTCTCATTCCCATTGCTTCTCCTTAAAATGCATTACCTCTTTCCCAAGTCTAACAGAGGAAAAGAGTACTCTCTTTGCTACACTGTGATGAGAAAGACCATTCTCAGCAATCCACTGTCCATATTCCAGAAAATGTTGAAATCACTCTGAAGGGACACACGGCTATCATAAAGGACTCCACAGTCCCTCTGTGCAGGGACTTCAATCACACCAATGGAGAACTCGGTCTCCATGAAAAAAAAGAAAGAAGAGCCTCAGGGTTGACCAATGGTGGGGAAATAAAAAGGAACTGCCACTGTTCACACTATCTGCAGCCGTGCACAGAACATGATCAGGGTGTTACTCTGGGCTCCTTTAAAAGATGAGGTGTGTATGAACTCACTTCCCCATCAACATGGATATTTGGGAGAAGGTCCTTTTGTTGAAATCAGAAATTTCTTGGGCAAAAATTTATCCACAGGGTTCAAATGAGGACAAGCGTCGCTTGTTTAGTATTTCAAGTCCCAAAAAGTGAGTTGATTTTTGAAGGAAATGGCACTGAACTTGTATCAAGTTCAGCTGCTTTGATTCAACAAGCCACAACAGTTAAAAACAAGGATATCAAAAAAAAAAAAAAAAAAAAAGTTGGGTGGTATCTATGTTTCTGAAAAAGGGATAGTTCAGCAGGCTGATGTTAGATCTAAGTTGTCCCGTGACAGAAACAGCAAGATGCTGAATGAATGAGTCCTCAGACTTATTTGAGCTATTTTAAAGATACAATAAAAGCCATATATTGATTTGGGGGGGAAGGGATTATAAAGAATAAGAGCTTGTAAAGGCACTCTAAGGCTATTCTCCTAGCCAGAGAACCCTCCCAAATGAGAATTCGACCTATTTTTTATTACCTATTTCATAAGTATTCTAAAGTAAACTGAGTATGGCCACCAAAATATTCATCTCACTTCCTATTTTAGAATTCCTTTTTCTTCTCTTCTCTACATTATAAAGATGTTCCTAACCAAAGGTTATCACATACCCAGCCTATGTAGACATCCTGTTATCACATCTTTTCTAATTCTATCAAGCATTCCGATACATTACATTTATTGTACATACTTCCCTTCAATTAGTTAGAATTGGGCTGTATTTTTCAAATTAAAATCCAACAATTTCATGGGGGGGAGGGGCTTAAGTCCTTTTGCAGAAGTAGAAGTTGTACTTTACTAACCACCTCTACTTATGGGTAAGTGGTTAAGGTAACAGGAAAAACAAAAACATTGGTTTTAGCAATGACTGAACATGAAAGTGAAGTTATAGGAAGTTTATGTTCTCCAAAGAGGCAAAGAATGAGATCTGACAACAGGACAAGATCTGCTGGCAGTAACCAAAGGTACAGACACATAAAACTGATTGTGCACCTGGTATAAAATGCTTTCTAAATAAGAAGGAAGCATTCACTGGTGTCAAAAATACCAATCAGCTAATGAACTAAGGGGAAAAAATAGTCTGAGTTTCTTTCACATTTTTAAAAATCTGTAAGTTTCAAGAACTTGAAGAATTTTAGGGGCAATCTCTATCATTCACTTTTGTGCTCTAAACAAGTGTCTTTTTATTAGGTTCTCTCAATCTGTAAATGTCAAACAGGAATTTAGTGGCATTAGTGAACAAATCAGAAAAAAAGGAGGACCCTCTTTCTTCAAGATGAGAAAATAAACCCTTAAAGTTTTATCTTTAAGGCACTGTAACCACTAAATACATTACTAAGACAATAACTTCTGCCACCATGCCTTCATAATGCAAATGTGCTATGGCTATAGGGGGCCTGAAGTTTATTAGTCCAGGACCAAAACTGATCCCATTACATGTAAATGAGAGCTTTGAGTATCCCACTGAAGAAATAATTGGCAAGCAATAAGGCCAGTTAAAGTAAGAGCCACCTTCATGACATCAGTGAATGTGGGTAGCCAGGGAGAGGTTTAGGTTTAGAAGGATTTGTTTGATGGAAATGGAATGCAGAAAACAGATGATTTCAGCAAGAAAGAAGTCAGAGAAGAAGCAAGACATTAGTTGATTAGGAAAAATCTAGAAAGTAAGCAACAGCTCATGAACTCTCCAAGAAAATATAAGTTTGTGTGTCCAAGGTTTAGAAATGGGAAGCCAAGGAAATATTACCACTTTTGCATTAAGAGTATCCGCTAATAACTAGATTGAGCATAAGGGCTTATATTATGAGTAGAAATATTAGTGGAAAGTAAAGGTGAAAAAGAATAGCTTTTTAAAAAACTACACATTAAGCTAAAACAAACAGCACTGAGCAACAAGATTCTGATTTATCTAATAACCTATCTATAGATGATTTCCTTCCCGAAGATCAACTCACTTTATGCATTAAATATTTGTGCCCTAACATGCTAAGTAATGCCGCCTTAAGATATAGTCATGCCCTATGAAGAGTAAAATTAAGATAACTGCCCTCCCCTCCCCCTATTTTACCTCACCTCATCCTCCTCTCTTGCTGGTAGTGGATTGAAGGATGGAAATAGAAGTTATTTCTGAGCAAAAGCTGGGAAACTTGCTGTTTGTACCACCCAAAACTTGTTTTAACACACTTACCAACATCTCCATAAACATAGAGGCCCTTTGGAGGTTTGCTCCTTGAAAACAGCTGTAAATTAAGAACAAATTATAAATCTCTAATAAGGAAATAATTAAATATCATCATTTACATAGTGTTCCTAACTGTGCCATACACAGGGCTATAATGGGCTATTGTGCACAATACCAAAGCTTGATGTAAAAGGCTAGGAAGCCTAACTTAAGTTTCAGTACAGGAGGCAAGAGTCACAGTAGTCCAGAGCAAGAGCTCTGAAGTCACACAAGTTTACATCCCCTACACCATTTGCTAACTATGTAATCTTCCCCCTCTTTCCCAAACAGGCTCTCCAAACAATGGCAGCCTTGCTCATTCCCAGCAAGCAATAGATTAGAAGAATTTTTCTGGAAAAACAAAATGGTCTCCGGGAAAAAAAAAAAAAAGACTCAAAGGCACTTCGGTGTGGATTTCTCCCACGGAAGGGGCTGGTTCCATACCAGATCACTTTACACACACCACTCAACCAAACTAAGATGGACCTTTCAGTCAGCTTGTTAGTATCTGAAAAGGCACGGGAAAAAACTGACAACCTAGACACCAGGGTTTTTTTAAAAATCTTCAAAGATGAAAATATACAGGGGCGAAAAACTCACAGGAAACAGACTATACAGACAGCAAAAGAAATCTTCAAAAATACAACCCTAATAATATAATTAATATGCTAAGAAAAATAAGAGAAGTTATTAAAACTATAAAGCAAAGAAAATACAGTTTTAAAAAGAAACATTAAGAACAAAAGATAGCACTTTGAAATGTAAAATATGGTAGCAGAAATAAAATCTCACAAAAAGGTTTAGAAGATAAGCTTGAAGAAATGTTCCAGAAAATATAACAAACAGCAATAAAAGACGAAAAATATAAGAAAATGAAAAGATTAATTCAGGAGCTCCAACAGCTGACAAAAAGAAATTCCAGAGAGAAAAAAAAAGAGAGGAGAAAGTTATCTATGAAAAAAATGCAGAGATTTTTCTCAGAACTGAAGAACTTGATTTCTAGATTGGAAGGACAGACTGAGCGTCCAACACAGTGAGGTAAATAAGATCTGTAACAAGTCGCACATCTCAAATTTCAGAACTCTTGGGATATAAAGAAGATCCCACAAACATTCAAGGTAGTGGGAGGAGGAGGGCTGGAGAAACAGGTCACAGACAGATAAAGACTTTTAATGAAATTTGAAGGAAAATGATTTCCAATCTACTTAGCTAATCTATCCATCAAGTGTGAAAATGGAAAATTGACATTCCATACATACATTGTCTCAAAAAAACCTCCCAACAGAAAGAGGAACACCAAGCTGCAGGAAACACAGAGGATCATGGGAAGGAAGCCCTGGTGAGATGGAGGGTTGCTCCAGGACCACAGAGGCACAACAGGTCAAAAAAACAAGTCCAGACCAAAACAGGAGTGGGGAGGGCTCCAGGAAAGAAACTAAAGGGAACTTCTCTATATTATATTATTGGGTTGGCTCTACTAGTGCTTAAATGTCTTTAACTTTCTTTGAAACAATTTTGTTAGATTGTATGGTAACAGCTGTCACATCAGCATGCATTTCTTAAAAAACTTATCAAAACTGGTGAATTTTTGTGCAGCCATTTTAATATTGAAGATGGAAGAAAATAATGCAACATTTTTGGCATATTATGCTTTATTATTTTAAGAAAGGTAAAAACGCAACTGAAACCAAAAAGATTTGTGCAGTGTATAGAGGAGGTGCTGTGACTGACTGAACGTATCAAAAATGATTTGTGAAGTTTCTTGGTACTATTGACATTTTGGCCAAATGATTCTTTGCTGTGGGGCCGTATTATGTATTGGAAGATGTTTAGCAGCACTCTTGGCCTCTACCCACTAGAAGCCAATAGCGGGAGAGAGCCAACATACTCAAAATATCCAAATCAATAAAGTTATTGGTGAAAATGAAAAATGTGTCTTTATTTTACAGAAAAAACTAAACGGATTTTTTGGCCAATCCAATTATCAACCCAGATAACCATCCTGAACTTTGTTCCAGTTGGAAGAATAACCTTGAAACTTTGCAGCAGTCCCGAGATGCCTGTACAACAAACTAAAGCACCATTTTTGCTGTGTGTAATGCGCACCATGTTTTTGTGTGCATTATACACGGGATTATCATACCCATTATCATGTCCATGGTATGTAGTCATTATACCCATGTATAATGCGCATCCTTACCATTCCTCAAATTTTGGGCAAAAAAGTGTGCATTACACATGGCAAAATACGGTGAGAGCAGAGTTGACTCAGAAAAGGTAAAAGCAGAAAGAAACCAGGTTATGCCACTCAGTACCAATTAGAGCACTCAATATTTGGGCAGATAACATTGGCAAAATCTAGAATCTAGTAGACAATGCTGTTATTGTGTTTTTAAGATTTATTTACTTACTTACTTAGTTACTTATTTATTTCAGGGGAAGGGAAGGAAAGAAACAAATCAGCTGCCTCTCACATGTCCCCAACTGGGGACCTGGCCTGCAACCCCGGCATGTGTCCTGACTGGGAAAAGGACTGGCGACCTTTCAGTTTGCAGTCCGGCACTCAGTCCACAGAGTCACACCAGCCAGGGCAATACTGTTGTGTTTTAATCTCTCCAACCTGCCTCAGAAACCACTCCTGTTTTCCTGATTGCTCAGTTTTCTCTACCAAACCCAGCCCTTGACACCAGCAGTGCCCTTCCAGAAGAACCTTCACTATGGTTTAGACAAAAGGATGTGCTTCGGTTTAATTCGGCCAGCTGGATGCCTTCCCTGTACACATTAACTCTCCATCTATTCTCAAATCTCAACTGAAAAAAGATTCTACTCCTGCCAAAACCTCTTAATTTGTCTTGTTTTAATATCTTACATGAACTATTCTTATATGCTAGTTATTTTGTTTTCAACTTGCCAGGAAAAAAAAAGTATTGTGCTCTTAAACTAATTTAGAAAAGCTTCAAATTGGAAAACTTACATACAACCCAACAATCTCTAAGCATGTTCTATACATTTAGAAATTTTTTGAAAGCAACATTCTTTTGTATTAGGTAACTGGGAGTGCCATAGCAATTCATAGCTCTTCACAACACTTTTTGCAAGAATAGTCTGGGGCCTACTCTAGTACTGTTCACATGATAGAATCAATATATGCTGAATAAATGAAGTTCAAGGCAAAAAAAATAACATGGGGGAAAAGGACGACACAAAGAACTCAATGCCGCAGGGGAAAAAGAAAAGCATTCAGAGTGCTATCTTCTGTTTACCCATTCAAACTCCATATATTTTTGAAAAGCACTTTGGCAAATATTATATAACATATCTAATTTATATTATATTGTATTATATATTATAGTAATATTTAGAAGATGATAAAAAGGTACTGTTATAGAGTACCAAAGAAGATTCTCCAAAATCTGAAATCACAAACACCTGGTATGACATAAATACTATTTAAGACGCAAATTTTACTCTAAATGAATTGATAAACAAAATGGATGCTCCTCTAACAATAAATGTTAGATATCATCTATCTAAAAAATAGTATATACTCCCAAGTATTTTCACTTGGAGAGGCAAACCAGCCTTCTCCTAATAAAATTTCAGTCTTCTAAGAATTATTGAAATTATTTCAAGAGATTTAAAAATCTATATTTTAAGGAGAAAATCAGAGGACTGAATGGAGAACAGTAAGGCTATTTAGAAGGCTCTAAAATGGGTCCTAATTAAATTTTAAAATTCTTTATTCATAGTAGTGAATTCAGGGAGAGTTGGGGCCATGCAGCTTTCTTCAGGGTGACTAACTACCCAGGAGTCCACATCATTTACATGCTCCCAATTTACATTTTCTCACAATTTACTCTATTCAGTTTCATTAAGTTTCCTTTCTTAATGTATTAATTTTCTGTAATTTGTTCTTCTGTCTCAGAGAACACCACCCTGGCACAGTTCCCTAGTGCTGGTGTTCTCCAAGGGCTCCCCTCCCCCAAAGGCCTTCTCCTTCTTGCTCTGCACCCCAGGGTGCTGGCTGGCTTGCTGACTGGCTGCTAACTGGCTTCAGCCCCTGGGAGGAGGCACTACTTGCAGGAAATAGGAGGGACGGGTAGAGGGCAATTGAAGTCATTTTCCCCTGTTCCCTCCCTGCTTCCCTGCTGGGTCTTGAGGAGCCTTATCCCTCCAGACCCACCAGCTCAAGCTCTCTCCAGGCTCCTCCTTCCCCCTCCAAGCCTTATTTGCTGCCCTAGGCCTGCCCTGCCCATGACTACCTAAGTCATTTCTTGATTCAGTCTTTATTTCAAACATCTGTTTCCTGCCAAGACTGTGATACACACCTAACCCCTAAAATACGCAGATGCAACATTAGACAAACACTTGAAAATGTGAATATGAGTAAGTTTCTCCAGTGATCAGTGTAAGATTTGTCATGTTACTTGTATCTCAGGAAATTTATAAATGAGAATGGTGATACCTTTCCTAATTTTTTTTACTTTTATTTATTGATTTTAAATGGGGGGAGGGGGAAGGGAAAGAGAGAGACTGATTTGTTTTTACACTTATTTATGCATTTATTGGTTAATCTTGTATGTGCCCTGACCAGGAATCAAACCCGCAACCTTGGTGTATAGGGATGACACTCTAATCAACTGAGCAACCTGGGCAGGGCCTAGTGGGTTTTCATGAGTCCAATGACACTGCATTGTAGACTATACAGATGGTGACCTTAAGGATGATGTTGGAAGATCATGGTAACCTATTACCTACCTCTGCTAAACATAAAAGATACAGCCAAAGGATAATGGAGTTGAACCCAAAAGATCTGGTACAAATTCTGATTCTGCCATATGCTAGCTATGTGACTCTGGGTAAGCCACATCAACTTTACAACCCGCTATTTTCTTATCTATTGAGTGTGCGGCAGAGCACAAGGGAGTTCCCACTCGCTGCCTACTCCTGCATACCTAATCACAAGACCCACTCACTCACAATGAGTACTGAAAACTTCATGTGCTTACTGATAACTGC